TCAAGCTGGAGTCCATATGACCTCAGGGCTGTGAGAAGCCAGAAGATGGAAGAAACTTCAAATGAAAAAAAAAAAAAAAAGTTTTACTGAAGATTAATGAGTTCATATTTGTAAAGCCATTTAAAAAAATAGGTTTTATTTGGAGATTTGGAAGGATTCATGTATGCTTCGGGTTTCTAATGTTGTGGTAAACACAAATATAACATGGAGAAGAATGTGAAACCTAGATGAATTTTAAGTCTCCAGAGACACTTTTTACTTCCCCTGGGGTAGACCTACTTTAGGCTACACCTCAAACTCTGTCCATATTCACTCCTCTTGAAGAAGCACAGGTGAAACAGATCACCAAAGTGTCTTATCTCATGTCCCCAGAAGAGATTAATTTCACCCAGGTTAGTTACAACCCAAAGTACATAAATTACTAAGCCTCTCATGAGCAGGTCATAGTCAGTCAGAGGTGGAGGGCTTAAATACTCTTCCATAATTTCCTCAAGTGTTAATGTCACCGTTTTATTTTATTTTATTTACTTTTTTTTTAATACAGGGTGTCACTCTTTCACCCAGGCTGGAGTGCAGTGGCATGATCTTGGCTCACTGCAACCACCACCTCCTGGGCTCAAGTGTTCCTCCTGCCTCAGCCTCCTGAGTAGCTGGGATTACAGGTATGTGCCACCACGTGTGGCTATTTTTTGTATTTTTAGTAGAGACAGGGTTCCACCTTGTTGCCCAGGCCAGTCTTGAACTCCTGAGCTCAAGCGATCCACCTGCCTCTGCTTCCCAAAGTGCTGGAATTACAGGCCATGATACATGGCCACTGCGTCCAGCCTCTATTTTGTCAAATTTTAAAACTGAGCTTCAGTGAGGTTGAAATTCTGACCTAAGTTCACATACGTGGTAAAGTGACAGGAGCCAGATTTCCAGCTAGAGTCAGTGCTGATGATAGCTAAAGCAAGGCACTTTTCTTTTTCTGTTTTTATTTTTGGAGATTGAGTCTTGCTCTGTCGTCAGGCTGGAGTGCAGTGACTTGATCTTGGCTCACCGCAACCTTTGCCTCCTGGGTTCAAGTGATTCTCCTGCCTCGGCCTCACAAATAGCTGGGACTACAGGCGTATGCCACCATGCCCAGCTAATTTTTGTATTTTTAGTAGAGACGGGGTTTCACCATGTTGGCCAGGATGGTCTCGATCTCTTAACCTCATGAGCCTTTCAAAGTGCGTGATTACAGGCGTGAGCCACTGCGACTGGCCTAGGCAAGACACTTTAAAAAAACAAAGTTGTTTTTAAGCCAAGATGGTAGGAGGGCAACAGGAAGGAATGCTCTGTTAACAGTGGCCATTTCTCAGGGGCTGTAGTAAAATGAACTTTCACATTCTACTTTATCTATTTCTGTCATACTTGCGTTGTTGCAGCCAATATGTTTTCTTAATGGTGGTTACCCAATGATGTCAAAAGGTTATTTTGCAGACTCTAACCCCAAATAACTTCCCGTGGTCTGATTTCAACCTTGCTCAGCTACCTTCTGATGATTTGATTTCCCGTTAAGCTGGCTAGAGAGCGGGGCACTGGCTGGCCGGGTGCAGTGGCTCATGCCTGTAATCCCAGCACTTTGGGAGGCTGAGGCAGGCGGATCACCTGAGGTCAGGAGTTTGAGACCAGCCTGGCCAACATGGTGACACCCTGTCTCTACTAAAAATACAAAATTAGCCGGGTGTAGTGGTGCGTGCCTGTAGTCCCAGCTACTCAGGAAGCTGAGGCAGGAGAATCACCTGAACCTGGGAGGCAGAGGTTGCAGTGAGCCAAGATGGCGCCACTGCACTCTAGCCTAGTCAAGACAGAGCAAGACTCTAACTCAAAAAAAAAAAAAAAGGAAAGACAGAAAGAAAGGAAGGAAGGAAGGAAGGAAAGAAAAGAAAGAAAGAAAGAAAGAAAGAGAGAGAAAAGGAAAGAAAAGAGAGGGCACTGGCCAAGCTAACATCACTGTGCGGCCCACCTGATTTTCTATTCTTATTATAAATGAATGTGGCTCAACAGATTTTTCTCCTCCCATCCCTAATCCATCCTAGAGTCTCACAAACAGAAAAGAACATTATGCAATACAAGTCACAACATAGAATCTCTTCTAGCATCCTAAAACAAAGGCGTTAGGTCACTCCTGGCAGTGTACAAAGTCTGGCTGTCTCATCAAAGCCTGACCCTTTGTCAGAGAGCAAGCAAAGGCTTTTTTTCTTCATCCATTGCTGTGTTACTTAGAAGTTTTCACTTGCAAGAGACAGAGTTTAATTTGAACTGACTTAAGAATAAAAATCAGGATGGATTTTACAGGTTAATGTCTGTGAAAAATCCAATGTTAGGTGTCCAGCTTCAGGTGTGGCTGGATCTAGGTGTTCAAATAATGCAATCAGGCCTTTGTCTGATTCTTGTCTCATTTTTCTTTTGTGCTGGCCTTATTCTTGAGCAGGTTCTCTGCACACTGTGGTCCTGGCAGCCCCAGGGTTACATCCTCTAACTTGGAAACCCAGCAGAGAAACTTCTCAAGAGCTCCAACAGAAGTTTCAGAATTGAATCTCATGGGAGTGGCTTAGATGACATGCTTATGCCTAAACCAATGGCTGCAACCTGCAGAGCAGAGCACGCTGATTGGCCTGCCCTGAATCGCACCAGTGGCCCACTTCCAAAGAGCTGGAGCCAGAGATCACCCTCACCATGCGTACACGGAGTCACAGTGGGAAGCAGTGGTTGCCCAACAGGAAAACAGAAGACCGTTACTGAAAAAAGCGGAAAGAATGCGAGGCATGGGGAAAAAACCACATTCCCAGGACTAGATCCGAGGTCCCTTCAGGTTAATCTGTGGAAAACCGTGATAGAGACGTGAACCCCTAATATCTGAGACAGGTCTCAGTTAATTCAGAAAGTTTCTTTTGCCAAGGTTGAGTGACAGCCTCAGGAGGTCCTGATATGTGCCCAAGGTGGACAGAGCACAGCTTGTTTTTTCGTTTGTTTTATTTATTTATTTTTTATTTTTTGAGAGAGAGTCTCACTCTGTCACCCAGGCTGGAGTGCAATGGCATGATCTCGGCTCACTGCAACCTCTGCCTCCCGGGTTCAAGCGGTTCTCCTGCCTCAGCCTCCCGAGTAGCTGGGATTACAGGCATGTGCCACTGCGCCCAGCTAATTTTTGTATTTTTAGGAGAGACGGGGTTTCACCATCTTGGCCAAGGCTGGTCTCGAACTCTGACCTTGTGATCCGACCCCCTTGGACTCCCAAAGTGCTGGGATTATGGGTGTGAACCATTGCGTCGGGCTACAGCTGGGTGTTATACATTTTAGAGAGACATGAGACATCCATCAGTATATGTAAAATGAACATTGGGTTCCCTCTGGAAACTTGAAGCGGGGAGGGGCTTCCAGGTCATAGCCAGGTAAGAAGGGTTGCCTTCTTTTGAGTTTCTGATTAGCGTCTCCAAAGGAGGCAATCACAGAAGCCTTTGTCTCAGGGAGCAGAGGGGTGGCTTTGAATAGATGAGAGGCAGGTTGGCCCTAAGCAGTTCCCAGCTTGACTTTCCCCTTTGGCTTAGTGATTTGGGGACCCCAGGGTTTATTTTCCTTTCACAGAGATAACTGGTGGTCTGGCTACAGGTTGAGAAGAAATGGGATGGGATGGTGAGAGATTTGGATTTCAGGGGCACAGGGCCCAGGGGGGAGCCTCTGTGGGGCTGGTGACTCCAGGACACAGAGGGTGGCCTGAAGTACCAGCTGCTGGGGTGAGGGAAAGAGCTGAATCAGAGTCACAGGACTCTGCGTGGTCCTCCACAGGTGACGTGAGCACCAAAGGATCCTTTGCACGAGCTTCTGGGTTCAGAGTGGCCCAAATGAGACATTTGTTTGAGGGAGTAGACAGGCCACCCCACCCTCTGCCCTTCAGGGCAAGGTAAGGGAGTCACGTTTTCCTAACTGCTGTGCTGCTAATATCTGCTGGTCTCACACGAGCCCTGTTAGCCTACGTCACCTGGCTGAGGCCAGTTGCATCTAAAAGAACTGATGAGATCGATTCAACCAGACCTTGGACGCTGGGAGATTCCACAAGGTCCTGCCCCATGGAGGGCCCCATGGCAGGCAGCCAGCAGTCTATCCTGACCACACCCTGCCCTTGCTTTCTGCCCTTCCCTATGGGGCTGTGTCAGGGTTCTGGGAAATGGGGGCTGGAACCCCTGCCACAGGGCTTAGCTTAGGGTAGACCCAAATAAACCGGAGTTGTTCTTAGTACTACTGGATACTCCGCATGCCTAGCACACAACAGGACACCTATGATCAGGTATGTGACATGCATAGCCGGGCCAGATGGGAGGCCCATACAACTGTAACCGTGAATACAACTGCTGTTACTCTAAAGAAAGGAAGACAGTAGCAGGTGCTGAACACCTGTGGCCGTTTGTGGTTTTGTTTTTCTGTTGGGCTGGGCTTTGTCCCCCTTCCATTCACGGTTCTCACCGCTCCTCTCTTCTTCACAAGGCCACCTGCTGTAAACGCAAACAAACTTTTTCCAGCTCATCCTGACATCCAAAAGGTTGTGTCTGAGAAAGCGAGATTTCCCCCGGTCCACCTAGGTCCGACTCACAGGGCTGTCTATGAACTGTGCAGGTCTGTCGATGCCAGTGAGCCGAGATCGCACCACTGCACTCCCACCTGGGTGACAGAACGAGACTCCTCCGTCTCAAAAAAAAAAAAAAAAGTAAAGTTAAATCACAAAAATAAATAAAAGGTTCAGGGACCAGGGACGTTGGGGTGAGAGAGTTGGATTCTGATGCATCCCAAAGCTTGAGCCACCGTCCTGTGGGCAACCACCACGCACCCGGCCCCAGTAGGAAAGTCCGGATCACTAGGCCCCACCCCCTTGCCCTCCTATCAGGCAATCAAAGTTTCCAGACCCGCAAGTTACTGATTAACCCTAGGCTTTGAGAAAGTAAATAACAATAACTGAAGGGACAACGTAAGCCAAGAAATAAGCTGGGCAGCTCTGGGAGAGAGGAGTGCCAGACAGCTGTTGTCAGCAGGCACCTGCCCAGAGTGAAACACTCTCCGCCAATGCCCAGGTGCTGAGCGACAGCGTCCCCCTGCCCCCATGCCCACAATGGCCTGCACCAAGACCCTACAGCAGCCCCAGCCCATCTCCGCAGGAGCCACCACAACCACCACCGCTGCGGGCCCCGCCGTGGATCATCATGGCTCCACAGAATGCGACCTGGAGTGTCTGGTGTGTCGGGAGCCCTACAGCTGTGTCCGGTCACCCAAGCTGCTGGCCTGCCAGCATGCCTTCTGCGCCATCTGCCTGAAGCTCCTGCTGTGTGTGCAGGACAACACCTGGTCCATCACCTGCCCGCTGTGCCGCAAGGTTACCGCCATTCCCGGGGGCCTCATCTGCAGCCTGCGTGACCACGAGGCGGTGGTGGGGCGGCTGGCCCGGCCATGCACAGAGGTACCGCTCTGTCCTCAGGAGCTGGCGGATCCTGCCGCCTTGGCAGCAGGGCACCCCAGCTTGGTGGGAGAGGATGAGCAGGATGAACTAAGTGCCAATCACGTGGCAGCCCGGCGCCTGGCCGCACACCTACTCCTGCTGGCTTTGCTCATCATCCTCATTGGGCCCTTCGTCTACCCTGGTGTCTTACGGTGGGTGTTCACCTTCATCATCGCCCTGGCCCTGCTGATGTCCACCTTCTTCTGCTGTCTCCCCAGCACCCGGGGCAGCTGCTGGCCCTCCTCCAGGACTCTCTTCTGCAGAGAGCAGAAACACAGCCACATCTCTTCCGTTGCCTAAGCCCCCTCTGATGAGGCTGCACCTGCAGCCCTTTCTGCTCTTGGGCCCCGTGAATTCCACAATGAGCAGGGTAAGGGATGACAGACTAAGACTGGCTTCTTTGGGAAGTCACATGCCAGCGGGGCTTGCAAGCCAAAGCCGAGATGGCCATCCTGGGTCAAGAATTACATGCTTGGATGGCAGGCTTGCCCCTGCCCTTGTGATAGCATAGCTGAACTGTTGGGGGTAGGGGAGGCGACACAAACTACTTGAACACGACTAGATGGCAGGAGCGCCCGTTCCTCTTATTCCAATGTTCCTGGTCTTTTGTTATATAACTTGATGAAAGTATTGCAGTATTGATGCTATTGTAGAATAGAACTGGAATTCCATTTTTTTTTTTTTTTTTTTTTTTTTTTGCAATTTATGTAGCTGGTTTATGTTCTTGTTTTCCTTTGGGGTGTGTGTGTGTGTGTGTGTGTGTGTGTGTGTGTGTGTGTGTGTGTTTGGGGCAGCAGTTGGTTCACATTTCCAGTTGTTTCACATTTTCCCTCCTGGGAGCTTGGAGTCCACGGGAAGAGCCCACTCTGCTTCCTCCAGCTGAGCATCTCGTGCCCATCCCAGCCTTGGCAAATGTCCTCGTTGTTTGGGTCCCCCATTGAGTCCACCCTAGTGTTGGAGAGACAACATGTATGTGACGGGATGGTGTTTCTGGAGCTGCAGGGGGAGTACCACATTTAGCTGGCAGAGTTGGGGAGGGGTGGAAAGGGCAGGCTTTGGGAATTGCTCCCAGCATTCTTACTTCCCCACTCAGAGCCACCAGGCCCTGACTTAGCAGCAAATCTCAAGGTTACCAGGACCGCGGTCCACATACAGCGAGTCCGGCTACCCATCTATTTCACAGTCCCACACTTTAGAACAAGATCTTTATGGATGTTACTTTCTTGGTTATTGCATCTCAAGCCCCATTTGACCTTCTGTCATAAAGATAAGAGGCCCCATAAATGCAACGGTCCTCACCAATAACCCCACCTTTCCCATCTCACCCTGCGAGTTGCAAGGTTTTCTGTGCCTTCTCTCTACCATGTCTGCTTCTTAACACAGGGGAGGCATCAGCTGGAGAAAATGACTTTCCATGGTTGCCAGGGGCAGCTTCAGCCAGGGGTTTATGTAGGAGTGCAGGTGAGCAGAGGCTGGGAGGCCACACATAATTTCCTTCCACAGGCCCCATAAATGAGAAACAGACTTGAAACCTCACAAGAGTGCTGGTGTCTCAGGGCAACTCTGATACCCATGCCATTGGCCCTAATGATGACTGGAGCTGAGAGTGTGTGGGCATGCACAGACCCACGCCTTTAAGCCGGACCAAGTGGGCCTGAAGAACACCCTGTCTCCCAAGAGGAGGAGGGTCACTGCCTGAGCTGGCCCTGGGCATGTCAGTTTGGGATAGCTGCCAGTGGGATGGGCAAGGAACATTCCGTCCCACTCACTCCTCCACTCCTATTCGATCTGTAATATTTCTCAGACCCTTCACCAAGATCAAAACCTCCCCTAAGGGTTCAGTTGCTAATGGCACCATTTCTACCACAATAACGGTGGGTACTTGTTTATCCAATACTTACTCTGTGCCAAGTACTGCACTAACTGCTTTACATGCACTATCCAGTTAAGCTTCACAACAGCCTTATGAAGTCCAGGCCAGTATTATCCTTCTCTTGCAGAGGAGGAGCTTGAGGATCAGAGAGGTGAATTCGCCTGCCTGAGGTTACACAGTCAGTCGATGCCAGAACTCCCTTGAGAATGAACTGGGGGCTCCTTCTGCCTCATGATGCTGCTTCCTTTGTGTGCAACTCCAAAATAAGCGGGAATCTGGTCAGCACTTGAGGGTTTTTGAGAGGTGCATGGAGAACAAGAAACTAATTTCGGGAGCCTCCAAATTCTAGCAGTCGGCTGCTCAGAGAGGCCAGAGAGTTTTAGAATCTGTCATCCATACTAAAGAGAAGAAAAGAGAATGACAGGCTAGGTGTGGTGGCTCATGCCTAGAATCCCAACACTCTGGGAGGCCAAGGTGGGTGGATCACTTGAGGTCAGGAGTTTGAGGCCAGCCTGGCCAACATGGCGAAACCCCGTCTCTACCAAAAACACAAAAAACTTAACCGGGTATGGTGGTGGCACCTGTAATCCCAGCTTCTCTGAGCCTTAGTTTGCCACCTGTAAAGTGGCAGGTGGGGGACACACTCCTCCCAGGGCTGACATGAGGATTCAGGATGCTGCCGGGTGAGCATCCAGCGTCATGGGACTGCTTTTATTAGCCATCTTTGACCTCCTTGGGTAAATGGGTTTCTTAGGGCCTGTTCAGCTTGACAACCAGCAGGGGGCAGCCAGTCGAATGAGAAGCGTTGTCCAGGGCAGGCCAATCTGAGCCTATGACCTAGGGGGGAGGTCCTAATGACGAAGAGAAATTATAGGGAAAGGCCAAATTTCATTCCCATGAGGCCCATCTCCCTATGCAGCAGCCTTAGAGGCAGACATACCTGGCTTGAATTCCAGTTCTCCACTCACGAGTCACTATGTCTCAGGTTCTTATCCATGAAACTGAGGTTATGATGCATACCTCCTAGGCTTGCTGGGGAATCAGTGAAATAATCCACAGTTGAGCACTACAGAGGGGAAGACAGGAAGAAACAGAGAGATGGGGTTGAGTTCTAGAAAGTCCTAACGGATATGATGAGAGCAGACATTTAATAAACCTGGGCACTAGAATTCACCTTTTCCATTATCAGCCTCAGTACCAGCAGCGTCCTCAACAATAGGATGATAACAATAATTGTTGACATTATTTAAACGCACCCTGCAAATTGTATTACATACATTATCACATAGGCTCTGAAGGAGGTACTACTGTTGTTCGCAAATTATCAGTGATGACTTTGAAGCACAGAGAGGTGAAGAAACATGCCTGAGGTCACACAGTGAGATGGTGGTGGGGCAGTGAGTAGACTGCAAGAGTTTAACTCCAGAGTTTGGGCTTTGAGTTACTTCGCTGTACCAGAGAGAACAGTCCAGCACATCACAAGTGATCAAGGTATGTGGGTCCCTGTCCCTAAGACTGAAGAATTAACGAGAGCTGGCATCCTCCCATTCAGTGACAGCTTCCTGATTTAGTGGGTGCCTGGGACAGAGGGTTGTGGGAGACTACCTGTCCCACCGCCCAGAACCACTTCCTTGCCTCACCTGACTTATTGCTGGGGACTCCTGTTCATTTTTAGAACCCCTTTTCAAATAACTGGAGGAAGTTTTTCAAGCTTTCTTAAAATAATTAATTCTTTATCTGTGGCAAAGCAGAGGCACTCTAGGAAGAAAGAACTTTCCCACAAATTCTCTGCACATTAAAAAGAGAAGTCAGATTCAGGCTCTTGAATGTGTCTGGAGGTGTTCTCAAGAACTTTATGTTTTTATTAGAATATCTTGAAATCACATTTTTAAAGTAGGGGAGGATGTATCTCTGGGAGAATTCAAAATTCTGGAAGAATTCTCTCACTAGAGAATTCAAAACACCATGGAGGCCGGGTACAGTGGCTCACTTCTGTAATGCCAGCACTTTGGGAGGCTGAGGTGGGTGGATCACTTGAGGTCAAAAGTTCAAGACCAGCCTGGCTAACATGGTGAAACCCTGTCTCTCCTAAAAATACAAAAATTAGCCAGGCGTGGAGGCATACACCTGTAATATGAGCTACTTGGGAAGCTGAGGCAGGAGAATTGCTTGAACCAAGGAGGCAGAGGTTACAGTGAGCTGAGATCGTGCCACTGCACTCCAGCCTGAGTGACAGAGCAAGATTCAGTCTCAGACAAACAAACCAACAAAGAACAACAAAAAACCCACACCATGGAATCTAGAATCCATCTATTCATTTATTCAACAAATATTTCTTGAGGTTCTGCTCTGTGCCAGGTACTGAGCAGGCTATGCAATCCTATTTAATGAGGTAGGGAAATTAATAGATGCTGAGCAACTGTTATGGGTGGAATTGTGTTTCCCCAAAAAAGATACGTTGGAGTCCTAACCCCCAGGGTGTGACTTTCTTTGGAAACAGGTTTTTACAGAGATAACTGAGATAAAATAAGGTCATTAGGGTGGGTGCAAATCCACTATGACTGGTATCTTTACAAAGAGAGGACATTTGGACACAGACATACCTGTACAGAGAAAAGACAGTGTGAAGATGTAGGGAAAAGGCCCTGATAGAGGCAGAGATCAGGTTGACGCATCTACAGGTCCAAGGATGACAAAGATTGCCAAGAAAACACTAGAAGCTAAGAGAGAGGACCGGAACAGATTGTATCTCAGCCCTCAGCAGGAACCGACCCTAGTGACACCCTGACCTTACACTCCTAGGCTCCAGAACTGTGTGAGACCAGACATTTCTGTTGATTAAGCCAGTCAGTGGCACCTTAGGAAGGTGGCACCTTAGGAAGCCAATACAGCACCTCTTCTGTGCCTGTGCTTGCCCAGTGCCCCCCAAACCAGGCTACTTCAAGTTTAGCTAAGTCACTTTCCCAGAGTCTTATGGCAGGTAATTAGCAGTGTCAGCCTCGAAATCAAGTCTGGTTGACTCCCAAAACTAGGTCATACTTCCTTTTCCCATTTTCTGGATGAAAAAAATCAATGCTCAGAGAAGCCCTGTGATTACCCCCCAAAATGCCCAATACCTTGTAGATGGAGTAAGAATCAGAGCCCACAGTTCCTGAATGATCCTTAGTCCACATCTCCGCCTGGATGTGCAGTAAGGCAGGAAGCCTAAGAATTGCTGAATTATGGCCGGGCGCGATGGTTCATGCCTGTAATCCCAGCAATTTGGGAGGCCAAGGCAGGCAGATGGTGAGGTCGAGAGATCAAGACCATTCCAGCCAACGTGGTGAAACCCCGTCTCTACTAAAAATACAAAACTTAGCTGAGCATGGTGGCACATGCCTGTAGTCCTAGCTATTCGGGAGGCTGAGGCAGGAGGATTTCTTGAACTCGGGAGGTGGAGGTTGCAGTGAGTGAGGTCCTAGAATTTGACCCGACTGACTCCAGGACCACATCCCTGTCTGCAGTGAGAAGCAGGCCAGCTTCTCTTTCAGGACACTGAGGTACCCACTGTAAGAGCCTGTTTGCTCAAAGAAGACAGGACTACAGTGGACATTTGTCTTCTCTTCTTTCGAACTGATTCAGCCACCCCTGATTTCCGTTTCTAAGGAAACCACCCTGTGCTTAATCTTGTTGAAGGGATAGTTCCACCAGCAACTACCACACAAAGTGGAGCCCTGGTCTTCCTGCAACCACCCTGTTTCACCTGCGGTCGTGACAGGATCTAAATCAGCAATCCCCAACCTTTTTGGCACCAGGAACCAGTTTCA